TTCCGGAGAGCGAACAGCTGGCTATCGTGCCGTAAAAAGAGAGTTATATTATGCCTAACGAGTGAGACCATGATTGGAGGGGATGCTAAGCAGAAGGGGGGGTGGAAAAAGGAATTCACAACACAAACGCCATTGGGGCTGGCTCCGAGCCATATCTGCAATTGTGTCCAACCAAACATGTTCATCGTCCTTAGGACCCCAGCCAGGCAGTCGGGATGCACCAACCGACGCCAACTTCGAAGTGAGGGTTTTCATCTCTCTCGACTAAGTCGTCGCTTGGCCTCCCCTCCTCCTCTTCCAACCGCACCCACAACGCGCAAACAATGCACGTCGCGGAAGTCGGTGTGCTGGCATGCGCAGCACGTGTTCCAACCATCGGAGCCTGGTGCGTGATATAATGGTGCTGAGCGGTTTACTCGCTCTTCCTGCACCAAATACGCGACGCCGAACACGCTCATTGCTCACGCGGTGTTCCCACCAGACATGAGCTAAGCTGCGAAGGCAGCGATGATCGAATAAGACGAGCCACTTTATGTCTGTCGACCTGATGGGCCAGGTTTCACGACCATATAGGAGAGTTGAACGAACGGCTGCGTTATAAGCTCTGCCCTTCAGGGCGAGAGTAACATCGCGTCCTGTCCATTGTTCGGCCCGACCAACCCAGCAAAGGTGGAGGGGTGGCTCTATACTTCCGCAACGACCTCCAATGTGAGCGTATAGAGAATCCGGTAAGCACGGCATAAGATTCCATTTGGTATCGTCTATAAAGTCCAAAAGGAACTTTGACGTATCCCCCAACCTGGATTGTTTAAATGAGGACATGGCATCTCTATTCCCTAATTATTCTGCTCATTTTACATTGCTTTACTGTGTCGCACGATTGGTTACCATATCGTATATTTATTCCTTGCACTCGATCACTGACATATCCTTGCCGTTTCAAGGTCACTCATATTATTATGTTATTGTGACACTGCCCAAGTACTCGCACGTCGCTGCACGTTGTACAATTTCTACCCTCTTGCACTACGATTGCAAAATCTACTCGTAAGTCATGTACTGTATTTCATATGCCTTATATAATCACGGTTACAGGATACTTCGTTTTACTTCTGCCCAGACCGTGCGTTAAGTCTGGGTTTATTTGTTTGTAGTTTCTAGTTTACTTTTCGTATGACGTACTTAGTTTAGGCTTCGTATCACTGGTACACCGTATACGTTTAAAATGCGACGACACTTGCTTAGTGGCGGTCATTTAACGCCCTCCTTCCTTCACGTCTGAGATGGACTTCTATCTGGCACCTGCAATAAGGTGGGTGATAAACACAACTTACAGCAGCATTCTCACTAGTGGCGATTTCAACATCCACGCTCTGGAGTCTCAGGCATCTCCTGGATAACAGTTTAAGGCGGACTTACTAGCGTTTGTCTCCAGTTTCCCGCCGTGTGGTCACATCGACACTTCCACCCGATTCCGAGGAAAAGATAATCCGTCCATACCGAATCGGATATTCACCAACAAAGAACTAACGGTCGAGAGGATGATCATCGACGTCCCCTTGGGCCGCAGCGATCATGTAGTCCTACTCTTCGAATACATTTGTTAGGCAGAATATTCCGTGGAAATCGCCCATGCAACAAAAACGGTTATACGCTACGGCATAGTAGCTAGACTAGGTGAGACGGTGAACAGGACCTTTCTGGCAGACGAGGCACTAGCTAGTGCATGGGAGCATTTTGTCAGTCAGTTTAACTCGTTGGTTGCCGAAGCGTCAGTGACTAAGACTTTCCGCCCGAGAAACGTGGTCTCGTTTCAGCGAAGCAGGACATGCATGTGTATAGCAGTGCGAAACTCCACCTAGCATATATACAAACTCCTCCCAAGCACCGAGAACTGGATGGCCTATACGACGTAACGTACCCACTGTACTCAGCTTGTTCGCGAGGATAGAATGACGTATCAGCAGAAGTTGGCAGTGTGTATGGCCTCAAACCACAAGCTTCTGTATCAACACGTCAACAGTCTACGTAAGGTGAAACGGGGAATTCCTCCTCTCCAAACAGCGGACGGACCCACACGGACACCGAAGGAGGCGGCGAATACCCTGCGCCTACGACATGCTCCAACATTTCAGTGCGATCACTGGCCACACAACCCTATGCCAATGGTTGTTTCACTCCCAAAACTCACTCACATATCCTTCACGGCGGTGGCTATACTAAAAAGCTGTTGAGTATGCGCAAGCACAGCTCACCTGGAGTTGATAATATACACACGAAATCGTTAGCCGCGGTGGGACAGAGTTTAACTGAGCTTTTGGCTCGAATCGTTTAAAACTGTTTTGAAAAAATCTACGTGCGCGACATGTGGAAACACGGGATGATTACTACTATCCATAAGGGAAGTAGTCGTTCCAATCCGGAAAAACTACCGTCCCGTAATCTTACTACCGGTTCTTCCAAAAGTCATGGAAGCTATTATTGTTGATGCGCTAACGGCCTACTTGGAAGAATTTAACTACCTCGCACCGGAACAGCATGGCTTGGGACGAACTCTATCGTGCAGTATAAATCTACTACTAGCATGATTCAGTGGGACTGGAGTAGTAGACTCTGGCACAGGAGTTGATGTGGTGTTTCTCGACTTTTTTTAAAGGTGTTCGACCGGTTAGACCATAACATTCTGCTCTTCAAACTCCAGCCCCTCGGTATTGGTGATCCTCTCCTAGGATGGATCAGAAGCTTTCTTCTACACCGGCGCCTAGAAGTACGTGTGCGTGAATCGCTGTCAGATACCATACGAGTTGAATGCGGAGTACCACAGGGATCGGTACTAGGACTGTGATTATTTTTGACGTATATTAACGATATCACAGGCCTCATAAGCTCGAACTGCGTTCTGTATGCTGATGGCATCAAAGTGTGGAGGGTGATCAATAAAAGAGATGATATCACAGCACTTCAAACTGATCTGGATAGGGTATACGCGTGGTCAATCCAGAATGTACTTTGTTTCAATGTGGATAAATATAGAGTGCGGTATCTAAGGCACAAGTTGGTGTATTCTTGTAAACTCGGCAACCAAAAGTCTTCCGGCGAGATGTTTTTGTCCAGTTTGTTCTTGAATGTTCGAATCAGGCTGAAACGGAGTCTAGCATGGACATCAAACAAGTGCGCCTTCTGAAGCGTGCATTCAGACGATACGACCCTTCAATTTTCCCACAACTTTTCGGCTCATACATAAGGTCACATATGGAATACGCAATACAGGTGTGGCAGCCATGGCTGAGGAGAGATCTCACCGTCTTAGAGATACCCCAACGCCGGGCAACCAAAAACGTCAAGGGTCTGTATAATTCGCCGTATGAACGCAGGCTTCAAGTGTTCGGGGTCTTCAGCGGACAATATTGGCGATTGCGCGGGGACCTCGTTTTGACTCCGCAGATTTTGAGAGAGTTCAACTACACGTGCCGCCATTTTCTAGAGCTCAGTCACAACAATAATTTGAGAGGCCATTATCTCAGACTGGCACAGCAGCACAGTCGTTTAGAAGGCCGTCCGAATTGCTTTTCCGTACGCGTTTGCAAAACATGGAATGCCCTACCGGAATCTGTCATCGGTGCTCCGACGCTGGCAGTTCAAATCCAGGGTTGACTGTGCACTTATTTCGCTGCACCATCTTACACAACCCATTACCCATGGATAAACATTTGTGTTTGTAAGAGATTGCACTGGCGGTCAAATCCCAGATTTCGTTTCACATTTTTCACCTCCTGTATGTGTACACTAGAAGGAGACACGATTTTTACAAACATGCAATTTGCCGTCATTTCTCATGGATTTACCTTGGATTTACAGTCTATACTACGTATACTTCAGTGAGTTCACTGTGTAAACCCTGTTTTGCTAACAATTGTTTTATTTTGAATTTTCACCATAACCATCCTACGGGACCTGTTAAGCATTACCTTTTTACCCGTATAAAAACATTGTTCCCTTGAATATCCAACAGTGACAAACGCGCCTTCAGTATCGTAAGAAAAAGGCCTACTGCAAGCGAACCGAGAAAAAGTGGCCTAATAAGAGATCTGGAAAGTTTTATCATCACAGTGAAAATTTTTAAACCAGCTCTTGTGCGATCATGTTTAGGTCCTAAAACGTGTGCTACATGTGAAAAGACTGACGGGTAGGAGACACCAATACCTCCTACGTGTCCGGTGAAGATTGAGCCGAGGAAAAGCCACCCGAGCATTGGAGACATGTAAAGTAACTTCCTGGGCGATATGAATACTCTAGGTGTTTGATATTTCGAAGAAAACACCCAAGTCCTCCGCAAGAATTCTAGCGAAACAAAGAGGAAAAATCAAAAAAGAGAGGACCTTGATAAAATAACGCATTAACCGGAACGCCACAAAAAACGGTAGCACTGAAGTATAACTTGACCGCATTTATAGGTCGTTCAATGACTGGCTTCCAGAATCAAAATACCAACTGTTAAAATTAGCAGTGTACTACGGATTCACCCAATCCTCAGAATGTTGTGCCGTCCCGTGCAGACTTGGAAAATACCAGAAGGTTGGAAATCGATACAAGTGATTCCATTAAAATAATCGCTGAAATAATGGTTCTTCCAGGAAATCTTTACTTTTACACGGACACTACTTACCTTGAGTGGTTGTTTGGTTTGACAGCTAGAACCGGCGTTACGTCGGCAAAGTCCCACAACAGTACATTGTAATTTGAAGGTGCAAAGCACGCACCGAAACATGCAGTGCTATGAGTCAGTCTACTCAACCGAGAACCGTGAAACCCCACCTCTGCCAGTAAAAGTAACCGGCCACCAGAATTCAACAATCGGGGGCGATGGAATCAGACGAGTCAACAGGTCATCTGAGAACTGGAATAGGTTTCCGTCAAATCTAGCGAATCCTTCGAGGTTAGAGAAAAGCAGTATAAAACACCGCATCCGTAACAATGACTATTGCAATGGTACGACTCACATTGGATTCTCAGTAACTTCAATTGCAGGTCAGGATTGAGTGGGAGTCTCGCGATGTGCAATTTGGCCATCACGGAGAACCACAAATTCTGGGGAACTTTTTGTCGCGATAATTCGGTCTCCCTGTGTGTGCGGGTGTGGTGAAAGTAGATGGAATTGGTGAGTTGTCTTTCTGCTAGCGTAAAGAATCAGCGTTGCCCAAAAGACAAACCAATAAGCGACAGGTTAAAACAAAATTTGACAATGTGGACTACCAACAAATATGGGACGCAGGTAACCGTCTTTGTTCTACTAGACTTGTCCCAGACTTATTACACGGTTAAACCAAATCTATCGTCCTTGTGTGACATTGAAAGAAGAATGGTTAGAGGCAAACATCTGTCGCTGACATCTGGCTTCAAACTTTTGACATACACAAAGTTAGCCGAGAACACTGTAATGTCCTTATCGTTGATAGTGGCCTGTTGCGAAGTTTCCGTGTGGTGACATAGAGACACGAATAGAGAACAAGGCGCCAGATGCGTACAAGAGGCTTTAAAACTACAGTAATACGACCAATGCTTAAGTACTTTGGAGTGTAATCTCTCTGCCCAAAGGGACAATGGAAAATGTTTTAATATGAGTAAAAAGGTTAACGCTTAACAGGCCCCGTGGGATGGTCCGGATGATTATCGCAAAATATGGAAAGCATGCCAGGCAAAAGTACGTGTACCCCCGATAGACGTACTGAGGTATATGCATTAATAACTGTAAACAAATGCAAATCCATGAGGAATAACGAGAAATGTGACACCTGTATAAACGGTGTCACCTAGTAAACACGTACAACAGGTGTAAAAATGAGAGACGTATTCTGCGGCGGATCGGCAGTGGAATCTGTGGAAGTGACTAGTGTTTGTCTATGGACAATAATTCATGTAAAATGGCGAGGAAAACTGTGCACTGTTAACTCGGGCGTTGAACTCTACCAATGTGGGAGCACGGATTTCGACAAGGTAAGCCAGGCTTTGTAGCCGCGTACGGAAAAGAAGTTCCGACGACACTCTAAACGACTGTAGTTCTCTGCCAGCTTAAGATGGCGGCCTCTCAGATTGCTGTTGTGGCTGAGCTCCAGCAGATGGTGGCACACATGTACAGGGTCCTTCAAAATCTGGAAAGTCAAAATAAGATTCCTGATTAATCGCAGGTATCGTCTGGGGAAGACCTCGACCACTCTCAGCCTATGTTTGTACGGTAAATGATACAAACATTTGTGCTGGATTACTCGGTGTTGAGGTACCTACAAGACAGTAAGATCTCTCTTCAGCCACGGCTGTTAGGTCTGTATTGTGTATTCCACGTGTGGAGGTGGACTGTAAAGACATTTCTGTAACTCACCAGCGTCTGCGCACGTGTTAATTTAATGAACTCGACCTGCTACCCCTTAACCGTCGCAGCGAGACTGGACCTTAACGTAGTGCGACGGTTTGCGTACCTCATTAACCCATCGAGCTATAATGGGTGATGCCTCCGGGCACCTTGAGAGCTACTCCTACCAGATTGGTCAATGGTGAGAGATCGGACAAACTCAGTCTCCTGGTCCTCCAGGTTAGAAGTTTGAAATGGGATGGCGTCCATTTCTGTAAAATTAAATCATTGCCACTTAACCGCTGCCTTGCGGACAGGCTTTTGAGCCAAAGCCTTTGGATGAAAACCCTAATCGTCCTCCTGTCTAGGTCTGGGCGCCCTGGCAGCATCTCAGCCCACATACAACATGACTTTTTCTTCAAACATAAACTTCATCCTGCATCGGCCGTCGCGCAGATTATCAAGGGTCGCCTTATCTGCTGCATACAGCGGGGCGGATAAGCGAAAACATGCTACTGCTGGCGTCTCCCTTCTTACTTTTCCACCTGTTTATCCTACTCCCATTCCGATCCCCATTACCAACCTTCTATAATTCCCAGCTTAATTGACAGCAACCGAAGTGCCACTGGAGTAGAACCATCCGCAGCCACCATCCCACAGCACCTATCGGCAAAAGCCCCTTATAAGACTCCGCTATCCGTTTCCATGGCGACATTCAACGTTCGCACTCTAAGACAAACAGGTCTACAGTCTGCACTTGCACGCACCTTGGACACACTGGGTATTGATGTGTGTTGTGGGTCCGAAACGAGGATCAATGACCCTAACGGGGTTATTGAATTAACTGCACCCGGCTTATCCTCTCGTTATTGGTTGCACGCATCCGGAGACGCCGATGCGGCACTCACGGATCAAGCTGGTGTAGGTATCATTCTCAGCTCCAAGGCTGAGCCATCGTTGGTTGATTGGATGCCGGTGAACAGCCGTTTATGTCCAGCTCGTTTGACGACATCACCTAAGGCTGATTGAAGAAGCAGTAAAAAACGCTGTTTGTTCGTGATTTCCCCTTATGCTCCCACCGACTGCAGTTCTAATGCTGTCAAGGACACATACTATCACGCACTGAACGCGCTACTACGCAGTGCTACTAGTGCAGATATTATAGTACTTGCAGGGGATATGAACGCACAAGTAGGGCGTCTGAGCTCTTCAGATCCTCAGCTGAGTGGTAATTGTGGACTTAACTCCGAACGGACTGAAAACGGTGAGCGTCTGCTGCAACTGTGTGCGGAGCACCAGTTGTTTCTTCCTATCACTGCTTTTAGACACAGTGGGCGCCGAAGTGTCACTTGGCGTCCACCTGTAGCTGGCCAGCAATGGACCCAAATCGACCACATAGCCATAAGTTACAGGTGGCGTGGTTCCATTCTGGATTGCCGCTCATACTGAAGTACCTGTGTCGACTCTGATCATGCCTTGGTACGCTGTCGTTTCTCCATGAACTTTACCGGGAGGCGCACCAAGTGTCCCCTACCACTGACAACGGAGAAATTGTCTCAGTCCTCGGTCAGGCAAGTCTATCAAGAAGCACTGTATACCGAACTTGCGTTGTCTTGTCCTAATGATACTGAACTTCAGTGGAATAGGATCTCGGCCGCTAAGCACGACGCAGGAGCATCTGCTTGTGGCACAATCAGTCGTCACCGCACCAGTCACTGGATATCCGAGAGGTCCGTGAACCTGTTGGAATCTAGAAGACACCTCCCGGCTGGCTCTGAACACAATGTGACCAGACGGGCTATTAGACGTGAACTAAAGCAGAGCCTACGTGCTAACAAGGAAGCCTGGTGGACCAGTAGGGCACAAGAAATGGAGGAGGCAGGAGCAGTAGGCAATTACCGCAAGCTCTTCCAGCTAATCCGCACCACTGGTCCCAGAAAACCAGGTGTCAGTGAGACAATCACAGACAGCGCGGGTGGGCTGATACACAATAAGGAGCGCCGTATGGCGCTTTGGGCGGAACACTTTCAAGATCAGTTCAGCTGGTCCCCTGCTCCCGAACCTCTTCCTACTCAGGTGATGCAGGATGAGCCACGTACGCTTAATTTAAAGCTTCCGTCGGAGGCCGAGGTCCGAAACGCGATTACAGCCCTCAATCGTTTTCGTGCCGCTGGCCCGGATTCCCTCCCACCTACACTATTTAAGGATGGAAGTGAGGTCCTCTACAAAGCACTGACCTCCTTATTCGAACGTATCTGGAAGGAAGCGAGTGTCCCGGCTAATTGGAGCGAATCGATTATAGTGGCAATATACAAGAAGAGCAGTCGCACAGACTGTGCGAACCACAGGGGTATTAGCCTAACGCCAGTTGTGACAAAATTACTGGCCTCGATTCTCGTTCGTCGCCTCACTGCGGAACGGGAATCTCGCATAAGGGAAGAGCAGGCCAGTTTCCGCCCAGGACTTGGCTGTATAGACCATATTTTCACCTTGCGGCAGGTGTTAGAGCGGCGCCACGCATACCGCAGATCGACAATAGCTGTGTTCCTCGATTTTAAGAGTGCGTTCGATTCAGTCGATCGATCGATTCTGTTCGAAATACTTGCGCGAAAAGGTGTTCCCACGAAATATGTGAACATCCTTCGTGCTCTATACTCAAACACTACAAGCCGCATCAAGGTCTACGGTGGCCTATCGGGAGCTTTCCTACCACAAGTGGCGTTCGATGGGGTTGCCCGATTTCCCCGTTTTTGTTCAATTTCGTCGTGGATTCTATCATGGAGTGTTCCCTTGCGGAATCTCACCATGTAGGCGTTGAAGTGCTGCTTGGTGAAAGGCTAGTTTATATAGATTATGCAGACGATATCATCCTGCTTTTCGACGATGTTGGGGCGGCCCAATCAACACTGAATAACCTGTCCAGAGTGGTCCCATTATTTGGTATGCACTTCGCACCTCCGAAGTGCAAAGTATTGCTGCAGGACCACCAGCCACTTGATGGTCCCTTGACACTTGCTAACGATGGACTCGAGGTGGCTGGTGATTTCACTTATCTTGGCAGCTGCATCAGCAATGATGGGCGCATAGAAACTGACGTCAGCTCACGCATTGCAAAAGCCAAAGCTACCTTCTTGAACCTGCGGCATCTTTGACGACAGAAGGGAATTTCCCTCCGACTGAAAGGCCGCGTATACAAGGCCACAGTGAGGGCCGTTCTGCTGTATGGTAGCGAAACGGCCCCTTCGGTCTGAAGATCTGAGGCGCCTTCAAGTCTTTGATCATCGTTGTCTGCGAAGCATTGCTGGTGTCGGATGGCACCAGCGTGTCCGCAACGAGTGTGCGTAGGCGAGTACTAGGTGGTGATAAACATGCTAGCTCCCTAGAACAACAGATAGCACTGAATAAGTTGCGTTGGCTCGGGCACGTGCTACGTATGCCTGGTCACCGCTTACCTAGGAGGGCCTTGTTTAGTCTACCAGGTGTAGGGTGGCGCAAGGCTCGAGGTGGACAGAAGTTGACTTGGCAACGGGAAATGAAGTCACTGACGACCAAACTGGGCGCCGTTGGTCCGTCTCGCCTTCCGGGCTGGAGTCCACGTGACTCGCCTTGTGCTTGGCTCGAGACTTTACAGGGCATGGCTCGCAGTAGACACCAGTGGCGCGTCTGCTGCCGTCTCCTAATCGGATTGCCTGTTTAAAGTGTGTTTGGTGCTGAGTTATCTGCGGGGTAATGGCTGATTATGACGCGTGGCAGTGAAAGCCTCAAGGAAGCTTTGTCGCCGATGCCGCCTCATCTTCGCACGATAGCCAGCTGTTTGTGACGGTATGTTGTTGACACAAAGTGTAGTCGTCTTGACCCTGAATGTTTGCTTAGGGCATTAAGGATTTCAGGTAAGTCCCTCTACCCTCCCTCTTCTTATTCTTTATTTCGTAGGTCCTCATGGTTGTATGGCAGCGAAGCATCAGTTCAAATGGCTGATGTACTGCTGTTGATGATGATGATGATGCCACCCCTTAACCTGAACTGGATAACGATATCCTCGTTAAAAACAAACTTTCTCGCTTTCAAATTCCAAACGCATCAAATGAGTGGTATTCGACACGAAGGTCAAGTGTAGACGGTGTTCGAAGGTTTGAATTGGCGTCTCTCTCTTCCACACCCTGAACCCTATTGTAACCGCATACCGGATACGATAATCAAGCCTGATGACATCGCTATGTTGGAAATGTTACCACCGCATTTCCTATCTGCTGCGATGTCTTCTCTACCGATGAAGAGTGAGAGCATTTGCAGTGGTCATAAAACGCTACCGACGACTGTGCAGTGACTTGTTAATGACACAGTGGATAGATGGAGGGGCCCGTGAGTCAGATTTATCACCTGCTGATGACTAGTCACAATATCAAGCTCCAAGGAAATTACATGACAGGAAGGGGACCTAGAACCACTTCGAATGCTGACGAAAGCCCTGCTTTCTTCTGATTCGTTAGCATAGAAATAGTCACTCAAATTCCTACGGTTCACTCTCTCAGCAGTTATTTTCAAAGACGGCTCTGTATCACACTAGTCAGCTGCATCCCTACGAGTAGCCCGTGGCATGTTCATTCTTTTGATATGTACAACCAGCCTCTTCATCGGGTAGTTCCAAAAAGCCAGCCGCACCCAGACCAGGCCAATTACGCGAGGATTAACACAGAACGGCTTTCGCACTCCGCTCTCCAGTCGTTTGCAACGCTATATGGATAAATAAGGACAATGACCGAACTAAAATGCCCCAAGTAATGCATTACATGACGTCGAACAGGTTGGACAGACTAATTACGAAATATGTATTAGCAGTGTGGTCCATGATTCGTCATGGAATAGGTCGCCATCGGAGGCTACGGGTGCGTGTAGAAACCCGGTATTCATCAAAACGGACAGGCTGTTCGGCCGGTGTAGTGAACTGGGTTTTCGTGTAGTCTAGATATGAAGCAACGGTTCCTGTGGTCAATGAACTGTCTCACACGTCACAGCACAAAGATTTCGCGCAACAGTAAAATGGTGATGGTAATGGTGGGTTGGTTCGCCACAAGTATACTCAAATAACCAGTAACCACATATTTGGGAACTGTTGAATGATCAGCATTACGATTGAACTTTCAATGAAGCGTGTGCATATTTTCCTATGACCCAGTGGAACACAGTCTAAAGTTTCGTTCGGAGTAGGTGGCAACTCAAGTTTATGAGATAGAGCGTTCGAAAGGTGGTCACGCCACAACGGGGATTAAATAGTGCGAGCTAACTGTCTGGTGCTTTTGGGGGGCGATTACCCGACTGGTTCTGGTTGTGAACATGATCAGTAAAATTTGATAACGTCCTAAATCACCACTTTCTTTAAGGTAAGTAGATACCACTCAAGCTGGAAATCGACTTGCAAAAAATCCTCAAATTGTAAGCAGACACACTTACAATGCGTCTTTTTGAGCGTTCCGATCCACCGCTGTAACATCGATTCGGAGAACTCCACCGGTTTGCCGTAAAAATCTACGGAGTGGCTCCGGTGCGTAGTCGGGTCGGGGGTAAGTGATGAACAGCCTTGAGCCCGGGAAGATGTCCACCTCGGGTATGTATACTTCGCCAACGCGCGGGCCCCACGCACATCGATGTATTGACCGACGTAGAAAAGGTAGCGCTTTGGTGCTGATGCGGGGAAAATTCGATACGTGCTTAAGATGACACAAGTGGAAGCAGTGATTACGTCATACAGGTATAGCGCAACAACGTTTGGATAGGTGGACGGAACTGTTTTTTCCTATTAGCTGCCGTTAAAGGAGGCTTTCGAAGACGGAACCTATTTAGCAGTAAGTAAAGGTATATCGCTCTGCACTAAGTAGGCATGCACAAACCACAGCAACTACCGCACTTAAGGGGTGTTAGTATGCAAAAGTGTTACGTGCTAATGTAACGTCAGTAATTGGGCTTGTTCAGAATGCGATGTAGTTTGTAAAATGCTGCCCTTCGGGGACGAAACTTTATTGTCTGGACTTAAAAAAACTCAGTTCTTTTCGCCCCTCTCTCATCCAGACTATTTGATTTTTGAAGGAGGATAGCGTCAGGTACAATCGATGGACAAAAAGCTGAGTACATCGAAGTGGTTCATTCTGTCTGGCTAAACGGCGCGATAAAGTAGTGAGATATAGCAGTGGGGGTGAAACAAAGATCACCTCTTGTTCGCTTCACTTTCCAGTGTGGAGACAACCTTCCTAGCCTTCCCCTTCGCGATCACAGATTCCACAAAACGCAATGTGTGTGGACAATAGTGTGTTAGCTGCTGCCCGATTCCCAGTATAACACAAACAAGGAGCACCAGAATTACTTCTACTTCGGCCGCTAATCAACTAAGCGAGTCCATATGCAACAATCTGAACACACAACGAATAATCCAGCCGAAGGATTGCCGTGCGTCGAATTTAATTCACATCCGAATTTACTTAGAGCCTTCCAACATAACGGGTTTCCATGGCGATGAAGCTTCACTTCATAGAAGCAATGTGTGTCTTCGTTCATAGGCAGCGCAGTACTCAATACCCTGATGGAGAGTTCGGGTATTTATAACTGCGAGTCGTTCGGGTTGGTTGCTCATGAATTCCCCGAAGGACGTGATTCGTTACAAGTGATTGCATATCTGTCGCTGCAGCGTAGAATGGCTAGTAGTAACCTGGTTGGTACAAATGCCCCACCATCAGTGGGGTCGATTAAGTCGCTTTTCAAAGTGCTTATCCCAACGCTCCAACCCTTTTGACAAGCTGTTGGTCGGTTGTCCGTTCTTTTCACATATAGTTTCCCTAACTCCAGGTTTCCTGCTGTGTGTTTATCGTACCGGACTGAATAACCTAAGTTGGTTAGCAATGGAAGCGGCTGTTTCCATCTCCGACGCATGACGAGACAACAAAGCTTCCGTGTCTCTCTTCAGGCTAGCAAGCAGTTTTGCTCTGGGGTCTTTGCAAGTCTCAATGTGTTCGCTCTCAGCTGGGATGCATTGGCAGGCATCCAGAAGTCCCAGAGACTACATAAACGCCTAATGTTCAGGTTTGCATTTTAATTTGCCACATGAATACATGCCTGCTGATAGTAACATCTGGTGAATAGGTGATCAGTGGCCCTCCATTGTATTCAGTGATCGCTTACTTTGATACGTATTCAGAACACATGGGTTCGTCATTTGTCAAGTACCTATGCGCTCACAACGTCACCGCATGCGACCACACAAAGGAACTCCGAAATCGGCACATCCGAGTACGTAGTCAGAGTTCATACTTGTGCTCTACATCGGCTGGCAGATTTAGACACAGCATCTTCAGCGGCAACTGGTCATGTGACCGATTTTCATCTATGACTGGTCCGAGGCTCGTGGGCGCCATGTCACCCTCCAGCGGGTGGTGTGTGTTCGCGAGAAACAGACGAGTATCTTCACACAGATGTAACAACCGCTTACCGTTATCATTACGGAAGTCTACACCATGTTGGCCGGCCACACGCTGTTCATCAGTGGAAAGTTTTCCACCAATTTCAACCCACCCAGCGCAAAATGAACAGTGCTTGTGGTGGTCGACTAGTTGAGGCTCACGCGACAAGCAGGGTAATAAGTGTGACTAAAAAACAAATTGGTGATAGTTTGACCTTAAGAGTTTATCAGCGGATAAAGGCCGACTCAGGTTAGAGAAGGAAACCATAACATTGAGGGTCTCTTCGGGGTGTCTGGATAGAGTGAAGTCAAGGACATAGAAGAGCCGCGACGACAGAAGCTGTAGTGACTGTAGTCTGCTCCGGGTAACCTGCCGATTAATCGTCGCCTACATTTTTGCCAGAATTTCGCGTTCACATGCGAAAGACGTTCTTTAAGCGACTAAACGGCTTCCCCAGAGACAAGTCACAATGTTAAGGTTACTGCAACCGAACAAGCACAACCGTCAAGCCAGCCGTTTGAATAGCGAGGTATTGCAGTTGAGTACATGAAAATTAATGTTGTGCCAGGAGCGACATACACAGAGCAGATACGTGCAGGCTATAAGAGTTCGACTTAAGTTACTAACTGGACCAACAGTAGAAGTAACAGTCTATCGAGATTAAGTCTAGGGAGTGCTTGAATGAGGTTAAAAGATTGTGGTTGCTGTTGACATACCTTTTTCCATGGCAATGATCTTCATAGAGTGACCATGTTGCATCATGCGGAAATCCAATTCCAGTGAAGTTACGCAACCTCCAAGAAGACACGGAATTTAACCATTCGGTCGTCTCGCTCCGGTGTGCAGCTGTAACCGAATCTGGATCATTAGGCTCAAACACACTCAGATGGGCGGTAAACCAGATTTGAAGCTTGCGACCCGTGTGTGGTTGAACTCCGAAGTTAGATCGTCGAATGTTTTGCATGTGTTGGCTGTGGTAGTGGAAAGAAAGAGACGTGTATGAGTCGTGGTTAAAAATGCTGATTTAGAAAGTGCTGCTGAAAAGAGCCCTAGTGGTAACATGCGGTGAACAAGGAACTAAAGCGCGTTCTGGCTGAGGTCAGTTTCTCTATGTTAGGCGTCTGAGGATCTTGGAGTGATCATGAAGAGTCGAATGTAAGGGTTAAGGTATCAGCAGTACACCAGTACGCAGTACCGACGCTTCTCTGCAGCGCAACTACCAACAGTCGAGCGTGGGCTACGGATACTGGGAGGATCGCCAGGCCTCCTGTGTAGGCTCGAACCTGCACCCTCGGATTACAAGGCAGATTTGCGGTCCTTTAGGATACGGGCTGATAGCACGGAGGATACTATCATAAAAGCAAATCGGGCGGTATTGACTTAGGTATATCCGTCTAAAAGTTGTCTATAAAATATTGCGACTTGCTTATTACCGATCATATTTGGAGGGAAAACAAGGCGGTTGGTCATGTGGCTGAGTGGGAAAGGATGAAGAAGGGAAAATTGTAACACCATTCTTATTTAACAGCTGCTAAAAATATCGCCTACTCTTAAAATACAGTTCTTAGACAAAACATCTTGTGAATGATCTATCTGCATTCCCAGAGGTATGCGAAACGTGATATCAACAGAGTGAGGCACGTTTCGCGTACAAATGTCTAAGTACGGGCATGCTCGTAAAAACGATGTGTAAACGCACCTTAACCCATCAGGATAATGTTAGGTGATCGCAACGGCTTAATGCTGAGAAACAACTTTACCACGCGAATTGGGTCGGCCGTAGCGAACGCGGGTGGTTGACGAAATCAGTTCGTCATCGACAGCACGGGTTGCTATGTGATCGACAGGAACTGTTAAAGTCCCTTCATCAGCACTGGCGTGAATAAAACTTGGACTGGCCGGGCCTGCAAGCAGCCAAATACAGACCGCGAGTATCTGTGGACGCAGGTAAACAGGTGATCTCCAGTCAGGAGGGTGACGTACAGTCGGGTTGAAAAGCAGACGAGGATGTGTGCGACCTACAAATATAACCATTTATCAATACCAAATATACTCCGGTCTTGTCCTCTGTTTTCCTTAGGTTAAGTTGGATGGAGCATCAGGCAGAGAGCAGAGACAGTCCAGCGTTACAACAGAAGAACTATAGTAGACAGTATTCATGAATCGTGAGGGATTACACATTTCTGATCGTGTCTAATGAGAATATATTTATCTCGTGCGGTGAAAGCAGCTAATTTGGTGGGCATGGCTACAAAGAGAGGGAATTGATAGCGCAGTGATGTCCTGGAACGAATCAAACAAAATGAGTGGCTATATTTGGCTTACAATTGAATACATTTCACAAAGATGAGGAAATGTAGTTTCCCAAGTTTTTCCGAGAACCTTAAGCTACAACGGCAATACAACCTTCCGAAAAAAAATAGAGGATTGCGACTCGTACCAATATCGCTGAATGACGCACGGTCAGAACGGTGCCCATTGTCAAGAGAATGTGGGGTTCAACTAGATAGTATACTACAAGACTTCACGCGATGCTTTACGGTATCAAATACAACGGGCTCATTGCGTTAGGTGTTGATTCGTGCATTAAGGGTACTAAGCTTTTAACAATAAATCCAGTAAAACACCGCAAACTCACTCTGCCAAATCAGGTTGTTGTTGAGGTGACACAGGCACCATCTGTCTATGTGTGGACGTGTCCGTTTTGTCTTTAAAATCTTTAACCTGCAATGAAGAAAGTGAGGGCACCTATCCGAGGAGAAATACCTCTATTTGTGACTTCGGTTGCAGCACATCTGCCAATTGTGAGCAACCCTGGTCAGTCCGGTTTCCAGTGGCAGGATATGCAAAAGAATCTAAAGGTTTGAGGCTTCAATGCGTCGCACAATTACTTTCACTGTTTGTCGGACGTAATTGCTGGCTCGCAGACGAGTATTTCTGGTCAGCATTGTTAATACTATCCTAAAAATGAATGATGCACCAAGTAGGGAAAAAATGATGAAATCTTACTGGGGGTACCTGGGCCGTCCAGTTGTCAAAGTTTCCTGTGGCTTCACACGACAAGTAGCAGGGCGTGGCGATTGCAGACAAGACTCCGTGCCCCAACTAATCGTCGACGCAGAAGAGCGAGTTGATCTCGTGCTACCATACGACTGAGCCACCGTATAGACGGGTCCATTCAGGCTCGTGGGAGATTCAACCAGGTTCTAGTCTTGGGATTCTAAGGGCGCATGCATGTGAAAATAATCAACAGTTCCATACAATTCCATTTTTTCGTGCAACGAAGATCTACTAGTGGGTCTGAAATATCCTGGATGCTTTATCCCACTTCTAATGCAAAGTAACGGGATAGAAGAAAACGCAGTTTCCTGCTTAGCACCAAGGCAGATGATGTTCGAAGGACTTGTTCAGGGCTTGGATGGCGTTCTGCCTGTATGATGAGAACAATAGAAGAAATACTGTTGCATTAAATCAGAGCGGTTATTGAATAAACTGTGATCAGGCGATAATCCGCATCATTGGCCTAGAGATTCGCTCACTTACGGAAATATAAGTAAAAAAATCTACGCATTAGTAGAATTCACTCTCAAGCATGGGATTTTTGCATCGCTATGTGGGCCACATGGACTAAGGCGATGAGACACAAACGAATACTTGCAAGTGTACCATGGTGTAATAAGGAGACAAGTAGTTTGTTATAGGGGGCTAAGTAAGGTGTGTCTGTGAAACACCTTCAGTGATGGTGTCAGAATTTAGTAACGGTAGTTCCCCAAGTGGATGTCTATCGACAACGCCACCGTCAGAGTTACTTCAAAACTTACAACAAGAAGCTCTTAATTTCGGTAAGTCTAGCGATTTGGGATCTGTTGAACATGTCACGAGTTGCGTAACCTTCAGAGAGTCAAGACGCCTGTGGCATGGCCAAAATCTGGGTAGGATTCCTCAAGACGTGATTACGGCATTAGCATCATTGCCAAGCAAAAGCCGATACTGCCTATCGTTAAACTAGTTTTTGGGTCCACGCTTACTCATAGAGATAGGAGAGATTCGGAGATACTCATAGAGATAGAACCCTCTTAGCCTCCCTACGTGTTGGAACAGCGAGTAAGGAAGAAGAACGCTTTTTTTTCGCCACTGCCATGCGTGAATGGGAATTTTGGATGAAGCCCAAGGTAAGCACTTTCCACAGTAAGTCTGTGTTGTGGTTTTTTGAAGTTTACCTCGGCCTAAGATGAATAGCCAAGCTTGTCCTGTACCGTGCCATACAACCCTGCGTCGGGAACGATGTCAGAATCCGACGCTGGAGCAAACTAGACGGGTTGCTTCACATAAGTCCAACAACCGTCCCATTGTCATTACGAGAGCCTACAGCGTGTTGGATACTTAAACGGAGCTAATCATCGTACAGTTATGTCAGCTTGGGCGGTGAAATCACCAACCAGCACGGCAGTATGTGTAACGCAGAAGCGCGCTTAGTTGATATTGAAATTTATCTTAATGGGATCAGCGCTAGAGTTCACAGGGCCGTAGACAACATTGGGCGAACAGGCACCTACTGTCATTTATGCGACTTCAGTAGCTTCGAAAGAGCTATCCAGTCTAACGGTTCACATCTGCATACTGATTGGAATGCAGAGTAGCTGCAACAAGGGAGTTCAGAGCAACACCCACACCAGTTTGATCCGTATTTGCTCGATGAGGTCGTTAAATTCCGTGCCCACTGACCGATTTGCAACAAAGTGCTCACATTGAGGCATTTCAAATCTTAGTGAGGACCGAGGATATCAAACAGATGCACATAAGATGAGATGGTCTACCTGGTTGTACATGGAGTTGCGACGGAGGGCTGGTGAGACGTTTTCTGCGATTGCATATGAGTCGAAAATAGAAGAGAAACACTCGGTCACAGCAAGATAGGGGGAGGGCCAAGTGGAGTTTAAAAACAGAGGGATACAAGTGGAACGAGACGTTGGAGATGAAAAGGCGCAGAGAGAAAGAATGAGAGATGGGGAGGGGCCCCAAGCAATTGCAATCACAATCGCTACCTAGGCCGGTTGATTGCAGAAGATAGGGCATGACTGATTTGTCCCCGATGATAGCCAGAACATCAAGAAATGTAGTAAAGAAGTTTTCACTGTATTGCGCAGACAAAATGACATCAGAATGCTTAGGCGCCGGCGGAAAAATGATCAGGTTCCTTAATCAAGCCTTAGTTTCAGAAATCCTGTCGAATCTAGCATATTAGCATCATCGATCTCTCCAGTGCCCGATGTTGGACACACATAGGTATGGTCATAAAACATTTTATGTCCAGATGACATATGAATACTGTACTAAAATTAAAAAACGCGGGAAAGCGTGGCTATAGAAGATGATAGAACGGTTTGTGCAACAATATTCTGGTCCATAAATTATTTTCTCTGTGATGTGTAATATTTTTGCTACGTATTGTGTATATCACCAGATGTGCGGAATTGCAAGAACATGTAGTCAGTGGTAATTGGATGGTATTTAAAGCGGCTAGATTATGCTTATATGGGGCAAAATATGTGGGAAAATGGGCGATCGAAGGGAGGCGGCCGCTCAATTTTTCTCGATGAGTGCCAAATGTGTGACATTGTTTGCTGCTCGGGCGCTCATCCGTCAGTTAACGAGTGCCCATCGAACACTCAACGTGCGCTCGTCGGACACTGGTGCCAATATGGTAGTTATTCGGAAGTGAAATGAGGCGCCAACCCTAATCCAATCACCGACCTAGTGATTGAGGTTACTGAGAGTTTCTGGCCTCTAAATATTGACTTAGTTGTTTTCGTTGGCTTTGAAGGTGCAAAAAGCGTCCAGTCCAGTTTGGACGACACATACATGTTGCCTATGGAAGTTCAAGATCAACACAATACGCGGTGGCTTGTCTAGTGCATTCCGTGTTGTCATCGTTAGACAGTAAGAACAAATCCACAATTATCTGCTTCATCGAGTACAATAACGCTATCGGCTGTGTTAATTATAAATGTCTGTCGAAAGATCTACACGCTTATGGTATTCAAGCCCCCTTAGTTTTCGTGATGAAAGATTAGTTCGTTAAACGTATTCAGGTCAACAGAATTGAAGGTAAAAGCTCCTTGTCACCTACCACAAATGGCGATGTGCTTCAAGAGGCTATTTTGTCAACATTCTTGTTCTCTACTTACGTTAGCTCTATCCCTGTCCTAGAATAAGTCATGTTGCTAAAATATGCAGATGACGTTATCATCGGCCTGAATCATCCGACCTAGATTTCCTCAAACAAGTTGCAAAGTTGTTTGGACGAAATAGTGTTATAGTCGAAATCTCTCTGCTTGATGCTGAACTCATCCAAGTGTAATGACATTTTGTTTTCACTGAATAAGGCAGTTCGTTACCAGGAACATGTCACGGAAGGCGGCGGTTTGAGCTACTGTAAGTCAGTCAAAGCTACAGTGTGTCACGATTTGTCGTGGTTACTCGAGGTGAATAAAATATGCACCAAAGGCAGGTGACTTCGCTTTAAATCGTCCGATGGCGACTATCCTGCGTATCATACAATTTGATTATAATGCTCATCAATGCGTGCATTCGACCACGCTGGACTTATTGCTTTTCTGTGGATTTTTTAGACCCACTGTGTGAAAATTTTAAGTTGCCTGACAGATCACTTAAGCCCTCGTGTGGCTGCAGTGGCATCCAAAAATGAAGTTTGACTCAAACAATTGTATCTACGTAAGTAGACGCATGCATTAAACTTGCTTCCAAAATACTCAGTGACATTAGCCACTCTCTTCACAATGTACTCTCAAATCTTATATATGCCTCACCGATCAGACAAAATTACAGCGAAAT